CAGGATAATGCACCGTGTCACAAAGCACGAGTCATATCATACTGGCTTCATGAAGATGACAATGAGGTCAGTGTGCTTCAATGGCCTCCACAAAGTATACATGTTTTATGAAATAAATTTCTCTCTGGAGTGGAATTCTTCCTTAGTGTGGCACCTCAAATACATCGATTTTCCAGCCTTTTATCCTGGGTTGGGGGGGGGGGTGCCCTCATCACAACATGCATGGTTCCCCTTCTGACCCCCCTAAATACGTATGCTGCTTGGGTCTGGAATACTAAATGCATTATTATTATTATTATTATTATTATTATTATTTTATTTTTATTGTTATTATTTAGATTTCTATATGTGGGCTAAAATGACGTGTGCTGTGAGGCAAAACACAAACATAAGCACATTTCCTTGACAGACCCTTAACGCAGGTGTGCAGGGTGGTCGAGTCGCTTCAGTTGGTGAAAAGCAAAGTTAACGACAGAAGAAAATGATCAAGCTTGTGGAAACAAGACAGAAATCAGAGTGAGTTACATATTTGTAAAATCTTGCATAAATAACTTATTGGTTTTTAAAATTGTCTTTTGCCTCTCAGTGCTCATAATAGTGTAGTACTTGGATGACATTAAGGTCAAATGCATCTGCCCCCCCCAACAGAACAACTGGTCACAGTCGCCCACCCCAAGGATTCAAACCCTGAACCCAACACAGGGAGAATGTGCAAACATCATGTACTTGAGGCAGAGGCAGGAATCAAACCCTGAACCACGGGGCTGGGGGGGGGGGGGGGTCCTGACCTACAGTCAGTTCTTCTTTGTTAAGTGCATTATTTGTCCTTTCTGACAAGTTTAGTGCATGTTATTATATTTATATTTATTTATCTGCCAGACACTTTTGTCATATGCAGCTTCCACGAAGGTACTTGACATACCCCCCCATCTTTAGATCTTTACAGCTACAGCACAGGGAGTATCTCTCACATTCCCGCTTAAGGACCTGCTGAGTTTCTGGCTTTCACCGAATTCTTTACTAATTAGCCCTTGAACTGGATCTGGCTAATAATACAGACAAGCAGAGATATCCTTTGTCCTTTTCACTGTCACTGCCTTCCAGAACACTGGAAATATTTGTCTCCAGGCAGGCCAGTTATCTGGAGGGCTCCCTGTGATGCAGTGCACTGTCAGGCCTATGTTGCCAGGCCTCTTAGATCACTTTGAAAGCATCCTTAAATTTCAAGTACTCACTTTTGACAGTATTGACTCAGTCCTACTTAGGGTAACATATTACATATGGAAATGAGTCTTCACTTTTAATTTTAGTTGGGGCCTACCATTAAATTACTTTAAAATAAAAATATTAAACAAAATGAAGCATGACTCATACATACAGTACATTGAATATCAGCGGTATTGTCACTCAGCAGCATTTAAGCAGCAGTACAAGTTGGTTTTAAAATATTTTGTGACCAGGTGTAAGATCTTTTTTTTACCAGCACAGAGGTTTTTCAAGTTCAAAGAAATGGAATTTGTGCTGCTACTGGTGTGAAGCAGACACTGCTCAAGTTGCTTACTTGAGGCCATATCCTGTGTGCTTTTGCTTTTATGTGGCCGAAAGGCTGCTTTCTGTTTTTCGCTGTCACATTTACATTTACATTTACATTTACAGCATTTGGCAGACGCCCTTAGCCAGAGCAACTTACATAAGTGCTTAGAAGTCTCATTAGTGAAGACATTCCAATACTGGTTCAATAGAACCTGGCCAAGAATCACACATTGTCTTTAAAATGATACTTGCAGGTAATGCTAGTCAGGTACTGCATTTCAGGTACTGCACGTCAGGTAATGCACGCCAGGGTCTGCATGTCAGGTAATGCACGCCAGGTAATGCATGTCAGGTAATACACATCAGGTAATGCATGTTAGATAATGCACGTCAGGTAATGCACGTCAGGCAATGCAAGTCAGGCAATGCATGTTGAAAGATAGTTCCTGCATTTCAGAAGATACTTGGGTGGTTAAGTTAACTCACATAACACAAATGCAGCATATTTTGCTATTTGCATATTTTAATTACATTTTAAAAACATGCTGAATTTTAATCAGTTTAGCATGATATGTCACCATTATTGTTGTTATATTTTATATGATTTTTTAAGATTTATATCCATAATGATATTATCATCAAAGTAAAGCAGTAGTACATCGATATAATGATAATCCATTTATCTAACCTTTAACTGTACAAAAAGGTAATGAGGTAAGGCCACAGTAGTGGCTCAAAATTATTTTAATTGAAAGCACAGTTCTTTACTTATTTACAGTGCTGTCTGTACTACTGGATACTGTTTTATGAAAGACTGTTTCATATAGATAGAACCACTGAAACTACAAACACCAACAACAAAGGAAGCACTTCATGTATGGAGCTTGATGCTCAAAGGCACTATAATTAAAAAAGAAAAAACTGAAACACACGCAGACCCATTATGGGCGAGAATACAGGGGTTTCCCAGAAGCTGCTGGCAAAACTGAACACACTACGAGACCAATACTGTCATCATCTTTCCACTTGTCCTGTGCGTGAAGATAGAGAACACAAACACAGAGCCCTGTGCTGTGGCCCAGTGCCAAAGCTACATCCAGATGGAAGGTTAGACTGGGGTTTCCACCGTTCTCCCCACCACAGCAGGCAGGACTGGCAGGACTTGGCCTTAGCTGTTTGAATGCTTAAGCCCATTGGCCAGACAATAGGAGTTGGGGGGAGAGAATGGATGCTTCCTTCCTTTCTTCCTGTCGAGTGTTCTGCCTTGGCGAGCAGATTCAATGGCCCTCATCTCCGCAGCAACGGAACACCACAGCGCCGACTCAGACTGACAAAGAGCCAATTCTAATTGCCCGTCTGTCAAATTGTTGCACTGAGATTTTCCTTTTGGTTGCTTGAACACCAGTAGGACCATGCGCCTGTGCGGGAATCAGGGAAGCAGGGCAAATACACCGATTAGACAAAAAAGGTTTGTTTAAAGAATGCGTGTCAATGAGGGGGAATTGATTTTGTTGGTCAATTTTAAGTATGCATTAAAATTAGAAAGGAAAAGAGAACCACACAGGGTATCCACCTATAGGCTATAAATCTGATAATACAGGCACAAGGTCTTTTGGTGCAAAACCGCAATGCTTCACTTATTTAATGCTGTTAAATTGTTTTTGTTACTCACCTAGCAACGTGCATTTGACTGACTTATTTGTATCCCAACAAATGGAGCAGAGTTCACTTGCATTTTATTATCAATGAAGCAACATAATCACTTGATACTAAGTTAAATTCAATAAAATTATGTCTATCCTACTAAAGTCCTAGGCGATTCATTTAACTGATAATAATTTTAAAAGGGAGTATTTGTTTACTTTAATTTATAAGATTTATATTACATCCTAGAACACATATAAATGGAAGTACATCTACATCCTTAGGGACAATCATAGTTATAGTATTAAATATGTTTCTGATGCATTCCGGTAAAATCACACACTATTGTACATGATATTTTTTCCAAGTAATTTTTGTACTTTGAGATTATAATATTAATAATAATAATAATATATTATTAGAATTACTGTTTGGCCCTTTGCACCCAACCAGAAGAGGTCTTGCATGACATGTGGATTTATGCCTGGTTTTTCACCCCTAATAACTTGGGGCCACATCAACAACAGACTGACGATCCCTGATCCCTGATCCAGTTCATGCTAAGCTTGCTGTAGATTTTTAAGGCAAGATCAATCAGAACACAAATTAAATGGAAAAAAAAAAACAAACATATGCAAGTTCAAAGTCCCCCGAAAGAATACCAAGTAGGGGCAGGTAGCGGAATAGCCTAGACAGTTACAGGAGCCAAAAGCATAGGGAGTGAGAAAAAAATAGAAATAAAAGCCTGGATGTGGGGTAGACTGTCAATCTTTTGCAATTTAAGACTATTTAACCCTTTGCCTCCAAGATTAACTTATTAGTTAGCTGATAACTTATTAAGCCAAATCACTTCTAGCGGTAATAAGTGAGCTAATTCTGACATGCGTTATTATCAAGTTCCCCTTAAAAATTAGACAGAGAACCAGAAACCCATGTGTAGACCAATTGCATGGCACAAATGATATTGTCTGTTTGTTTACAAATACCATCTGCATGAAAAATTCTAGGGGCAATAACAACATAAGATGTTTAGTGTTATAAATCAACTCAATGTGCAGGACTTATGTATTAATGTAATCATATCCATCCACAAATAAATGCACACTCAGTTAGGGTCACCATATAAACAACAATAAATTTCTTTAAATAGTTTAATAATGAGATTGGGCAGTAATTACCACTCTCTGTGGAGAGATTCTTGTAGCACGATTGCTGACCTTTGGGTACTGAATTAGCCTGTACACAAGCCATCTGGTACACAGGTTGTGTAATGGGACTTACTGGAAAGCGGAGGCACTGTGCGATGTTCACTGCACGATGTGCCTTTAAGTTAGCTATGAGAATGCTCGCTAAATCCTTCTTCTTCTTTGTAGCTGCCAGATACATACTTGGAAACAATTAAGATTAGAGCAATTTAACGTACTTAGAATGGCACTCATCCAAGTTCAGGCTCCCCCACGATTACTATATAGAGTTATTGTATTAACTTTTGCCAAAAAGCACTTCTGAAGTACTGCCACAAATCTGCCTGCACACACACACACACACGCGCACACACACACACACGTACACACATGTAGGGTATATATATCCTTATGGGGACCACTCATTCATTTCAATGGGAAAAATGCTAACACTAACTATGACAACCTTAACTCCTACCCTGCCCTAATCATAACCATAAGTAACCTAACAAAATACAAGAGTTTTTGCATTTTTAGTTTTTTCATAGCAGTCACCGGTTTTTATAAAATAGAGTTTTCCCTTATGGGGACCAGGAAACCGGACCCCATAAGGGGAAAAAAATCACGTTATGGGGACATTATGTGCACACACACGTACGCACACACACACACACACATACACGTACGCGCACACAAACAAACAGAACAAAATGCATGAATAAAAACAGTGGAAAAACCAAATCAACCCCATGCAGAGTTTCTCTTATCTCTGGGACAGTCTCCATACACTGTGATCAATATTACGTGCAGCTTCATACATGTATTGTCTCATTACTGACTTGATGCCAACTTAATTCAGATTTGCCTGATGAAAATTTGCTTTTATGAAAATTCTTAAAGAGTGTTATCATATGGGTTTTACTGTATTATCTATCTATCTATCTATCTATCTATCTATCTATCTATATACAGTACTGGGCTAAAGTCATAGCCAGTCAAAGGAAATATTTAAAGCTATTTATTTGGGTAGTAATTATACATGCCCAGAACAAAAACACAATTTAAAATCTCGTGGCCTGGCATGATGGAGACTGCTTCAGCCCCCAAACCTCTCCTCAGGGCCACCCCAGTCATTCCATGTACAGTATTTGACCAATTTTATCACAAGCTCATGCAAGTAATTAATTGAAATAGTTCAAAATGTCAATGAGGTATAGATTAGCCATACAAGGTGTGCTAGTGGAGCGAGAAACATTCATGGGGATGCAGGACGGCTGCAACAAGTACTGGGGCGACTTTGGGGGAGGTTTGAAATGGCTAAGCTGACACACTTTGACAGACATAATGGCAAAGTATTACACCAACAGGAAGATGCATGACTGCCTAAGACTTTTGCACAGTACTGTGTATGTGTGTGTGTGTGTCTCTCATTAGGGGCTTTTTAATTAGTAACACCTTTGCAATAAGATAAAACACCAAACATTTGTGTTTAGTATCCCTTTGGAGCCAGTGACTATAATTGTAATTAATAGCAAAATGACAACAGCACAACTGAATGTCAAAAAAATGTCCCAAAAAAAAGACACTTTATAAAAAGAAAATTCATGGAAGAAATATGCAAATGTGTAGCAGATATGTGCAGATATGTTAAATATTGCTTGTCAATGGATTTTTTTTATGAAACCAATGCATTTGTATAATTTTTACAGGCTTAAGCAAGAGTCCCAATACTTTCTGTGAGCTCTGTATATATGTACAGATATATTTGGGATGAAGTGCACATGTAAGATGGATGCAGGATTTGTTCACTGAACACGCTGTACCTGTGAGTTTATTGCTCTCACTGAAAAGTTTGGAAACTGCCATCTCCCATTTCCTGTGCTAACTAAGAAGTTATTAAAAAGTTATTCATCCTAATTGCGGTTATTAAATGAAAGTTTTTAAAGTGCAATCTAGTTGTTACTGAACAGAAACACAGACAACATGTACGTAGAATTTTGTTTCAAAATGTTAATGTATTTTCTATTTTATAGAGATCAGCACTGAATGTAACATTTTTACAAAGGTATATTTTAATGGGCATTTTTATGATGCCACCCAAATAAATATATATTTTTATTATTAAAATATAATTCAAATAAATATATATTTTTTACACTAGGAACATTTTTTTGTTTTGGAAAATATAGATTCTTTAGATCATTTTACAATTTGAAAGTGTTTTAAGGGAGACTGTAAAGGTTATGCTTTTGCCTTAAACAGAGGTCAAATCTAAAACATGGATTCACATTAAAATGATATGTACATGACATATATCCACACAACTACACATGCATGTTAAATCAAGGTGCATTTCGGCTCACTAAACCATAGAAAAATAAAACATCTTTTATAAGAAAATGGCCGTTGGCTAATAAACATTTTGCATCAGCTATTCAAACATGGATCGGCGGGACTAGTTTATAGCTTTATGTATTTCATCAAATCTGTCAGAATAACGTTCTGAGAGTTTTCGTAATTGTTCCTTTTTAAAACCGCGGGAACAAGTAAAACACTGTGTTCTGCGTTGCATCCTTAAGGAACGCCACAGACCGGCGTGCAGCACATTAATGGGACTGCGGCGAGATGGGAACCTGTCGCCGATACCGATACTCGCATTATGTCGGCTTCTTGACGGGTCGACATGCTTTACACCTGCAGCCCGGCCTCTTCGCGCTGTCGTAGCAGCTCTGGCATAGCTTAAGGCAGCCCTTCGCCGGGAGGTAACACCACATGCATGGAAGCAGGAGAGACAGGACGCCCAAGGCTGCCCAGCGCACACAGCGCTTGGATTGGCCGCAGGAGCACGGGTCGTCTGCGCAGACGTCCTCGTCATCCGTGGAGCAGTGGTAGAACAGGCACTTGGCACAGCAGAGGCAGGTGCTGTAGTCGACGGCGTCCTGCGCAGAGCAGACGCAGCGGCGGTCGCAGAACCAGCAGGAGGGCAGCGTCTGCGGGCCGGTGCACTCCTCGCACCTGCACCTCCCGCAGTCCTCACAGACATACCTGTGCCCGCTCGACTCCGCACCCCCAGCGGGCATCAGCTTCTCGGCCTTGGCCTCCAAGCGCTCAGGGGCCCCAACAACCTCCTCCGCAGGGGATGGTTCCAAGAGTCTCTGGCCCGACGACGTACTGCTGGTGCTTGTCCTCGGACGATTCCGGGAACCACAGCTCGTAGTGCTCATGGACCGGGCCAAAGCGGCTGGTGGGGGGGATGAGTGATCCTGGGGGTCCTGTTGCGGCCCACCCAGGATAAAGTGGTCCTGGTCCTCATCATTCAGGCCTTGTGCTAGCTCTGCTTTGTGCAGACTTGGTTGCTCGGTAACCGGTCTGCCCCCAGGCCTGGGTGCCACCATGGGACCCTCAGTGTACTCATTGGTACTTCTGACAGTCTGGATCTGACTCAGGGAAAGTGGCTGAAATCGCCGCCCCAGGTCGTCCCTGGAATGGAGCTCAACAGGCTGTGAAGTTCTGCCGCTATGGAGCTCAGCCTGCAAGCCGGCAGACTGGCCGCCATTTGGAGTTCTGCTCTCCATCTCTATTCAGAAGAAGGCTTCCTCTGACATTCATCGAACACATCTGAACTCCTGAATGAAACACACACACAGAAAACAAGTTAGCTGATAAAGATTCTCAAAATACAAAATACATGCCTCATATACCTAGGTTATGATTTGCAAAAGTAGATTCTCAGCATATAATGCGATATAACAATCAGAAAGGTTGAGCAGAAAATATGCACTGTGGGTCCTTACGGCCAAACCATTACTTATGGCTGAAATACCTAACCAGAAGCATCATATTATCATATTTGCACACATCTGCCAGCAATCCATGGCTCCAGATGTAGCCTTCCCAGGTATCTGCTGAGACGTCCACAGGCCTCTTAGCGGCCAGCCAGCTGCAAGCAACAGATTCAACACACCACTCGACTAACTACCTCTGCAACAGGACTGTGTGACCTGCAGGGAGTAACAGAGGAACTCACACCTACGGGCCCATAGACATCCTGGCATGACTTCGGGTTCGGAGAAGCCAGCGCTGCGTAACATGACTCTAAGGCAGAATGTGAGGCCCGAAGATCAGCAGCAGACCACAAATACCGGCTACTCTCATGCATTCTAATAAATAAAAGCAAACTATCCTCTTTTCTCAAAAAATAAATTTTAAATATTGAAAACGGCCATATTAGTACTGTCGGGAAAATTTATCAGTCGCGGCAGAAGAGACCACCCCCCCCCCAACGCTTTAAAGGTCAAATATAACCTATCAGTAAAGTTAACAAAAAATACGAAATTGACAAATATTTGCTGTTACGTTCGTTTTCGGTTACATTGTTCTGGCACATGTTTACAGCAGCACCAAACATAAAACCGTAACTTGAGCCAAACGAAAACTTATCAGAACATAATATGCGTAATAAAAAATGAAAATGGCAGCAAGGGTATTATGCATAAAAAGCATAAAGCTTGAAAATCATCTTCAATAAATTTACGAATCATGATTTATTTTCAGAAAATTCACGAATTCATGAATTAAAAAGTTAAAAGCTATTTAAAAAGTTGCTGCACCCCCCCCCCCCTTTTTTTGGTCTTTGAACAAAAATCCGTTTACTGAGGGTGACAGTCTGTCACCGGGGGTGGGGGGGGGGCTTCCTTTAAAGGTTAACAGACTGTGCTGATTAATACAAAACAATTAGTTGAACTGTAAAAAAAAAAAAAAATCAAATACTGTTCCTAGGTGACAGAACAAAAAGCAAAACCAAATAGATCATTTGTCAACAACTCTGTCGGCTGCGTGTCTTAATGTATATCCTGCTTTGTGTTTATCCATCGAAGCCCGATTATTGGGAAAATAATGATGAATCTGGTAGAGAATTACTTGACAGATATAAACTTAAGGTTAAGGGGGAAATATCACGACGCTGGATTATCTGGATGACTGTTAACCAACTCTTTCCCTTCCATGTACCCAACTGCAGCACGTAAATACTAACTATATAGAAATAAACGAAAGTGATCAACAAAACGAAATTTAATGCAATGCCGCGGAGTTACAGCGCTGGGAAAGCAGATGAGCAACAGGCAATGGAAAGTTCTGCTTTGTAAGGCACAGCCCCAGGTGAAGACAGTCATTAAGAAATGCGTCTAAATTAATAACATGACTACAGACATAATCTTTTATGTATTTATATACTGTCAGTGCGTGCGCATTGGTGCACACTGCATGTATATATCGGTTAATGTACATGCAAGTACAATCGATATTTTTTCAGAAACGGACTTAGGAAACGTCGATTTACATAATAAATATAATAAAATAAGCACTCACCGTGGTCGTGCCGCTGCCACCCGCCTTGTTTGGGGTCTGATGCAGCGTAATCCAATGCAAAGACACTGTCCGCCTAATACCATTTATGCGTATAAGTCAAATCCATTTTTTAGTGATTGGGTTAATTTTCTAAGTACAGTTCGTTTTTTCTTTTTTAAATCAAGAAAACGCGAAAGCCCACCCTTAATTCCGGTGATCACGACGAAGAGAGATACAGCAAAGAACTGCTGAATAAACTAGACGGCTACTTGCTTGGTCCAAGTAAATAATTCGCCTTGCAGGCATTTCGGCACAAGGCGATTGTCGGCAAACCAACACGGTGCCTGCGATGTGCTGCCTGCGATGTGCTGACTGACATGTGTCTTGCAGAGTCCGTGGACGCCTCTGAGCTCCTGAAATGTTGGGCTGTTTTCACACTGGGGTGCTTTCAAGTTTTTCTCATCTTTTTTTTTTTTTTTTTTTTTTTACTGGCTCTTTCCGGAGGAGGTCGGGTCTGTGCAGTGCATGGCGTCATGTGGCAGTGCGAGGGAACAGGCCGCTTGTTGTCCCAGAGGATATATCGTATCC